GAGGCAAAGTAGGGGCGTGATCACGTTGTTTACAGCATTCTCGTGAGTTTCAACCCTACTCAACTACATGCACCTGAACTCTATCACCAGGCACGTGGGGCTACGTGTTCGGACCATAGGTTCAAGCTTACAACCACAGCCGTTGGCTATGATTGTGCTGGGAGGGCCCTGCCCTCCAGCTGGGACTTGCACGTGGCAGTGAGAGGACCCTGTCCTTTCATTAGTCTGAGGCTTGAACCTGGCCAAAACACCGTAACCGCGCCCCACAAATGTGCACTTGCCCGAGGAGCCAGCCACTCCGCCCTGGAGAAGTGGGTGTGAGTGTCCACAGAGGCCCGTACCACAGGCCCAGCCCTCCGTGTACCAGCCCCAAACCAGAAGCACACCAAGCACCCAGCACCGGTGGATGCACCAGGCGTGCGCCCCACCGCGGAACGTGACTCCGCAATGACAAGGAACCCGCTGGAATCCGTAGCAACAAAATGAACCCCAGACCCGCTGTGAGGGTGAACAGAGCCTGACAAGAAGCAGCACCGCCCTGGCGGGTCGCTCGGTGGTTAGAGCGGCGGCCCTCGCACCAAAGGGTGGCGGGTTGGACCCGGTCAGGGCACGGACCTCGGGTGCAGCTCAATTCCAGGCCCAGGAGGGCATGTGCTAGAGACAACCAATAGTTATATCACTGATGTTTCTCTCTCTCTCCCTCCCTCTCTCCCCCACCCCACCTCCCTCCCATTCTCTCTAAGAGCAATGGAAAAAATACCCTCGGGTGAGGATTTTAAAAATTTTTAAAAAAGAAGCGAACGCCACGTGTGCTTTCACTTACGTAAAATCATAGAAAGTACAAAGTAACCAGAGTGTTGGGGAGCAGAGCAGAGGCTGCTGGGGCGGGGGGATAAAGTGCCATAAAGATGTAACAAATGTAAAGACAGGAAATCCTGAGTGAGCGAGTCTGGCAGGGAATTACGGAGGGCTCACTGCACCGCGCACACCACGCATTTCAGGAAACAAGGAACCACTGGTGTGGCCGGGCCTGCTGTTTCTCAGCATTTTGTTTGTTAATATTTTCTAATCATAGACAGTGTGCCTGCTCCTTGTTGCAGTTAGGGGAGCCCACGGCCCCGAGCAGAACCTGCGCGTTTGCATAGATGCCCCGGGCCACAGAGCAGGCAGCTCGGGCGAAGCCCTCGGGTCTGAGTGGCGGGTGGCCGGGTGCAGAGGAAGGACAGGCACCCTCAGGGGTGGCCCTGGAGGCTGGGCCTCTTCGCCCTGTCCGCCCACGCCTCTGTGTGCGCAGCGGGCTCCTCAGAGGCGTGTCCTGTGACCCCACTCGGAGCACGGAGGGGACACTTGCGTGTTCTCAGGCCGTGCGGACGGTCAGGGTCTCATGAGGAGACTGGACTTTCGGACATGAACTCGGCTTCGCAGCAGCACTTTCCTAGCTCGGCACTGGCAACTGGGGCCATCGCTGCTGTCATCCCGCACCCTCAGTGTCATCCAACGAGTCTGTACATCTGAGCCTGCGGGAACCAGGCAGTTCCCCAGGGAGCGTGTGGCCGCACTCCCTCCCAGCACCGCCAGGCCTCAGCCTGTCACCAAGGCAGAGGCTGGGAGCGCGAGCTGGGTGCCGCCTCTCTCCTGCGTCCCGTTTCCGCGCCTACAAGATGCGCACAGCAGTGCCGGGCGCAGAGGAGGGCTGCGAGCAGGAAGCCAGCTGGCACGTGTGTGTGTGTGTGTGCACGCGTGTGTATGTGCGTGTGCATGTGCGCGTGCATGTGTGCTCAGTAACCAGCTGTGGTAACAGGGTCACGAGTGCTGACGCCACGTCGCTCAGCAGGGACCTGTGACTTACAATCGCTTCACCGAATCCCCATGTGCGGAGCGCGGTGCTGAGCGCGGTGAACCGGTGAGCCACCCACCGCCTCACGGAGCCAGCAGCCGGGACCCGGCCATTCAGAGCCTGCGTCTCCCATCGTGAGAAGGACCGATGGCCCCCGCCTGTGCTGAGACTGTCATCGAGCAGCTCCCAGCGGAGCCGGCGCTGGCAGGGATGCGTGAATGGCTGTGACCGACACCACCTCGTAGCACCGTGAACACGCTTAGAGCAAGGTCAGAGTGACGGAAGGAGACGTGACGGAAACATGGCAGGAAGGACTTTTGTTGCTGAGACTCACGTTGCTAAATGCTCCGTCGTCAGGCACGGGCAGAATATGTGCATCACTTTCTTGAAGTTGTTTGCCCCGATGAGCCCCGTGTCTCCCAAGTCGTAGGAGCACAGCAGGTCGTGGAACGCCAGGAGGTTCCTGCTGATGGAGTCCCGCACCATCCCTTCCACCTGAGAACACACACGGTCACAGGCTGCAGGCGTGTGGCCTGGGGGGAGCACCCGGGACCACGGAGGGGGCACCCCAGGACCACGGAGGGAGGGGCATCCCGGGACCACGGAGGGGGCACCCTAGGACCACAGAACCACAGAGGCAGCACCCTGGGACCACGGAGCCATGGAGAGGGCACCTGGGACTATGGAGGGAGAGGGCGCCCGGGACCACGGAGCGGGGAAGGGAACTTACTAAGTCCCAGGCCAGCAGCTGTGACGCCTGGGCGTCCCCCCCGGAGGACGGCTTCCCTATCTGAGTGGGAGAGAAAGGACGTGAGTGAATACAGGTCACTCACAAGGGCAGGCGGAGCTCTGAGTCCGACTATGACGGCCAGCCATGCCCGGTCAGCCAGCGGCCGTGAGACTGAGCAGGTGAGGCTGCCCTCTGACCCCCTGGAAATGGGAACAAGAACCCTGAACTGGCACTTATTTTTAAAAAGTACAATCAACATGAACAAGTCCGTCATCTAGAAATTAAGTAAATGCAGAGTGAGAGAATAATGAGGCGGCATTTCTGCCTGTCAACGTGGTGAGAACGAAAAAGCAGGCGAAGTGCGGGGTGGCCGGGAACGACATCCGCCGGTGTGACCGGCTGCTCCCGGGGCCAGGGAGCGGGAGGACACTCGCTCCTCACACAGTCCCTTCCCATCGTCTGCAGTCTGTACGTTACTCACATGTTCCTCTTTAAACCATTATAATTTAAAAATAAAATATATACTCTCTGATCCAATCATTCCATTTCTAGAAGTTTATACTAAAGGAAAACCACAGAGTGAGGCAAAAAAAAGAAGGCACCCCAATAGTCATTGTACCGAAAGTCATGAAAGAAAAACGACACCTAGATTGTAACGTCGGGGAATAGTTACTCTGTGTCTTTAAAGTTACACAACAGAATTGACACTGTTAATAATATGTTAATAAGTGACAACAACTAAAAAGGCTGTGATTACATGATCTCATCTTAAAATGAAATAGATTATCACGTATGAAAGCTTGTATCCAACTCATCAAATTCTATACAGTAATACATGCAGTTTCTTGCAGCTTTATTGAGGTGTAATAGTAATTATAACTAAGTTGCAAAAAAAAAGGGTGTGTGTGTCGGTATGTAGGTTTGGGAGGATAAGTGTGGGTAAGGAGTCCTCGAGGTTAGAATTAGTGGTGATTTTTATTCTCTTCTGTCTCCATATCTATGTTTTCTAATTTTCTGAATGATTCAGTTTCTCACCAAGTTGTTTTGTGAGTGAGCCCAGCGCTGGGCTCCCCTGCGGTACAAGGGGAAGGCCTGGCCACATAATGTCACATGAGACCGTGACTGGTGTGGGAGGTCGAGGACTACAAGAGGGGCTCCTTCAGGGGTGCCGGGGGTCCCTGGGAGGGCCTGAGACACTGGGACCTGCAGAATGGCCCCATGAGGTGGGAGGAGCAGAAGGAAGTGGGGCAGAGGCTGGAGGGGGTGCAGTTGACAGGATCTGATTCCTACCGAGCAAACATCACTGCACTCGCCAGGTGCGGGGGGGTGGGGGGGCAGATTGCTGACACGTCTATATTTTTGGTTTTAAAGAAAAATGCTGGCTCTGTGCGGGGCTGCGGTGGGGTCAGAGCTCCCACAGGTCTGTTCCACGTGGCGTTCAGGAAAAGCTGTCATTATTCACTTCTCTGTGGGAAGGGCTCTGGGACTTTGGAATTCGAGTCTAAGAAGGACCCTGTAGTGTGGGTTTAGGCTGTGGTTATCACCTTGCACAGGGGGCCATGCAGGAAACGATAATAGCAGAATGAAAGGTTAATCTGTAGCTATTAAAGGAAATCTTACACATCTATATATATAAAAGCCTAAGAGACCGAACGACCATTCGACCGGTAGCTATGATGTGCACTGACCACCAGGGGGCAGACGCTCAATGTACAGGCATGAAAAAGTGGAACAGACTGATGAATCTCAGAGGGAAGGGGGGAGAGGGGAGTACAGGAAGAGATTAACCAAATATCTTATATGCATATTAGAGGCCTGGTGCACAGATTCATGCACTGGTGGGGTCCCTCAGCCTGGCCTGTGGGGATCGGGCCGAAACCCACAGTCCAACATCCCCTGAGGGGTCCCGGATTGCGAGAGGGCGCAGGCCAGGCCAAGGGACCCCACCGGTGCACGAAACCATGCACTGGGCCTCTAGTTTCAACAAGAATCTGTTGATGTCAATTTTTTGGTCAAAAGAAACCAACACTAAAAGCCAGTGTTAGTCATTAGAAGCAATACTCAGTTATCACACAAAAGGTGAACTAACACAAGAACTCTAAAAACGGGACGGAACCCAGAGGAGCAATCTGCACACGGCCTGTGAGACGGTTCTTTCCCGTTCTCCCACTCTCTCTAAAAATCAATGGAAAAATATCCTCTGGTGAGGTTTAAAAAAATAAAATAAAATATAAAATAAAGAGAAGTCCAAACTGAGTAACTCTTACACACTTAATTCTGACTTAAAATGAAAGTTATCGCAGCTGAAAAGTTACCTCAGCGAAGAGATGTGTTTCATTAAACCGCACTGCACCAGCACCTCTGATTTTACTAAGAACACTGTTCCCCCCGTAAAACCGCCCTGGCACTCACCTTCCCACGGCTCTCCTCCAGCAGCTCCAGGAACCTGTAGATGTCCACCAGGCCCGAGTCCCCGGGGTCCAGCGTCCGCATCAGTTCCTTGAACTCTGAGTCGCTCAGGTTTACGACCAGGGAGTTGATGGTATGCTGCAGTTCTTGCCCTTTTATCCGCCCATTCACCTTCTGAGCAGGAGAGTGTACGTAAGGGAATTTTTTAAAAGAAAAAAGGAAGGAAAGCATTATATATATATGTTTAGCATCATCTAATAGACTGAGAGCTTTGGTAAACAGAACTATGCTATGAAACTAGAAAACTGAAATTGATCATCATTATATAACATGGAGCTGTTAAAGAAATCTTACACATTTCAACAAGAAATGGGGGGTGGGGGAGGCTAGCACTTTGCAAGTGCAGTTCCCACAATGCTCCCTGTTAGGACAGGGACAGGAGGTGGCCCCCGGGCTGACCCCCTTCCCGGGGCAGGCCAAACGTGGCTGTCACAGAAGCTGGAATAGTCCCTCCTGCCCCAACCCCACCTGAAGGCGACGGGATCAGCCTCAGGGGACACAAAACTTCCTGGCAATTCAATTACAATTCACCAATTTAATAAGAATATTAATTAGGCGTGTTTTCACTACCACCAACCTCATTCGTTACATAAATGGACAAGTACTTAGGGAGAAAGATTTCAGTCCTGCTGCCTAAAGAAAGCATCTGATGAGCAAAATACCGAGGGACAAACTTCTTCCCCAGAATAAAAAAACTACCAGCAAGTAAATTAAATATCAAAATTGAGAGATACTGTTTACAGAAAAACAGGAAATTTAAAAAAAAAACCCTGCCTCATAGAGAGATACTGTGAATATTAATGTGGCAAAAGGGCGTATTGAGAAAGTGGCGTGTAAATGCCAGCCTTTACTCTGGGCCCAAATCTGAAAGGAACATGAGGTTCTCTTGGGGAAAATTAAGTAATTTAGGATATGCTTATTTTTGGGTTTGGGAGCGATAATCAATTTTTTAGTGTCTAAACAGGAATCATCGACAAGTTTTTGGTGATTTTCAATAAATGTATAGCCTTGTGCAACCATCATCACCACTATCTAATTCCAGCGGCCGCTGGTCTAGGGGTTTGATTATAGCCACATGTAATCAAATGTGAAGTAGTATCTCGTATGGTTTTAATCCGTATCTCCCTAATGTCTAGTGATGTTGAGCATCTTTTTTTTGTTGATGGTAATCCTCACCCGAGGATATATTTTTTCCATTGATTTTTAGAGAGAGGAGGGGAGAGGGAGAGACAGAGAGAGAGGAACATCAGTGTGAGAGAGACACATGCGCCCAGACCAGGGCAGGGATCAAGCCTGAAACCCAGGTACATGCCCTTGACCGGAATCGAACCCCAGACCCTTCAGTCTGTGTGCTGGCACTCTAACCACTGAGCAGCCGCTTAGGGCTTGAGCATCTTTCTATGTGCTCACTGACTATTCGTGTATCTTCTTTGGTGAATTGTCTATTAAAATCTTTGGCCCATTTTTAAAATTGGGTTGTCTTCTTCTTAAGTTCTAAGCGTTCTTACATATTCCATCTACATACAGGTCCTTGGCCAGATATTTCATTTACATATGTTGTCTCCTAGTCTGTGGCCTGTCTTTTCATTTTCTTAATGGTATCTCCTGGCGCAAAAAAGGTTTGAATTTTGATAAATACAACTTATTGGGGTTTTTTTTTAATGGATCATGCTTTTAGTGTCATATCTTAAAAACTCTTTGCCTAACACAAGGTCACAAAGAATTACGCATGTCTCTAAGAGTTTTATCGTTTTAGCTCTTATTTTTAGGTCTAGGGACATTTTGAGTTAATTTTTGTGTGTGATGTAAGTTAATTTGCCTTTTTGCATATGGATATCCAACTGTCTCAACACCATTTGTTGAGGAGGCTATTCTTTCCCCCAACACCCCCTGGATTTGCCAAACGGGGTGGCCGCAGTGTGAGGGTTTATTTCTCTACTCTCAGTTCTGCCCGCTGACCAGCATGCCTCTCCCCCTGCCCCGCCCCGCTGTCTTTATTACTGTGGCTTTACACGGAGGAGATTCCTGCCTGGAAGTGATGTGCTCTCAGTTCATTCTTCTTTTCCAAGATTGCTTTGGCTATTCTGCCAACTGGCGTTTCCATATGAATTTTTAAGATTAGTTTTTCAGTTTCTGCAAAAAAAAAAAAAAAAAGCCAGCTTGGATCTTGATGTGGTTTGCACTGAATTTATAGGTCAGTTTGGAAAGGTTTGCAATCTTAATGAGTGTTCCAATCCATGTATATGGACTATCTCTTCATTTATTTACATCTTTTTCCTTTTAATAATGTTTCATAATTTTCAGTGTATAAGTCTGGTACTACTTTCGTTGAATTTATCCCTAGATATTTTATTCTTTTCGATGCTACTGTGAGTGGAATGGCTTTCTGACACTCATTTTCAGATTGCATATTGCTAGTTTGTACAAATATAACTGAATATTGTATATTGATCTTATATCCTGCAACCTTCGACTCATACATTAGTTCTTGCAGTGTGTGTGTGTGTGTGTGTGTGTGCATTCCTTAGAACTTACTATTACGGACTCATACATTAGTTCTTGCAGTGTGTGTGTGTGTGCATTCCTTAGAACTTACTATTACAAGATCCTATGGTATGTGAATAAAGAGTTTTACTTCTTCCTTTCTAGTCTGAACACCTTTTATTTCTTTTCCTTTCTGATTGCTTATCTAGAACTTCAGTACAATGTTGAATAGAAGTAGCGAGAGCTTTTATTCTTGTGCTTTTCCTGATCTTTAGGGAAAAGCATTTGGTCTTGTACCATTGACTATGAGTTTCTCATAAATGCCCTTGAGCAGGTTTGGGTACGTCCCTACCGTTCCTAATTTTTCAAGAGCTGCTATCATGAATGAGCGCTGGATTTTTCAGATATTTTTCTTCATCTTTTGAGATGATCATGTGGCTTTGTCCTTAAGTCTACTGATGTTGTCTATTACATTAATTGATTTTTTGGAAGTTAAACCAACCTTGCAATCCTGGAATAAATGCCACATGGTCATAGCATTTAATCCTTTTTCTATATTTCTGGATTTGCTTTGCTAATTCATGAAGGATATTGGTCTATGGTTTTCTTTTCTTGTGGCGTTTTTTATCTAGCTTCCTCCTATATATTCTGAATGTTTGTGAAGGGTTGGTATTATTTCTATAACCAATCTTTGTAGTCTTCAACATAGAGCATCCGCACATTATATATATATATATATTTCTAGGTATTTGATTTTTTAAAAATATGATTAGAAATGGTATTTTTAAACTTTTTTCTAATTGCTTATTGCTCTATATAGGAATATTGTTTCTCTTTGCATATTGACCTTGTATCTAAAGACTTTCTAAGCTCTATTATTAATTCTCATGTGTTTTGAGGATTCTTTTAGACGTTCTATTTACAAAAGCATGTGAACTGCAAATAATGACACGGAAGACATGAGCAGGTGAGGAGGGCGCAGTTGTTCCTGGGTGACAGAAAGACAGCCACACCTGCCAGAAACGTAAGGGATCGGGTGCCCGGGCGCACTCTCAGCGATGGTGAGCGTGCGGAGCAGCACACACAGCTGCCGGGCAGGACCGGCAGCAGATCAAGCAGCTCTAATGGTTCCGCATCCC